TATACATATGCATTTTCTCATCCACATGTCAAAAGCAGGTCATTTTTCTAATTTGCATTATTATAATAAAAGATCTTCCACGGAACGGAAGACAGATCATATGACCTCAATAAATAAGAGGGTGAGAGTCACATTTATGTACTGAGTAATGATCATTACTCTTATGGACTCCACCAAGCCACCGTAACAAGTTTCCTATTTCGCAAGTGCCGTGTTTAGAAAGCTCACCAAATTGTGTCTAAGGCTTTAACTATATTTCCATTTTCTGTCATTCAATTAATATTTATTTAAATCTTGTCACTAACTTTTGAGGAGATGCATTTATTAGCTATGGTAAGAAAAATAATATCAAAATTTATGGACAGATAGATAAGAGGGAAAAACAGGACTCTTTGGTAAAAGAAAAATTGTCAGGAAATCTTTAATAAAATGGTGTGTTTTACTGGGGCATTCGATCTATCTAGGGGCCGGCATCAGTACATTACTGAATTATATTGGACCAATTTTTATATTGTACTAATTCTATTTGATTTTTTAATTTTCTATTAAGTATGGACCCGAGTATGTTTAGTCGATATAGTATTCAGGAATCGTTGCTTGGTATTTTTAAAGTAAAAACCAAGAATTGACTTAATATGTATTGGTTACAATTGATCTAATTAAATAGTACAATACTAACTTATACTGTTGTGATTATATTTAGTTAAATTACTTTTTAAAATTGTTAATACTAACAACATAATATTACTGAAATTGCTTTAATGGATCTTCTTAAATGTAAAAAACCTAGTATGGTAGACAAAGACAATTATTCTCAACACCTAAATCAATATTGCTGCAAACATGACAAAGCTAGAAATATATAAAAATTTGTTGTCCATGAAACAAGTCATTAATTCAACACTTAATACAACTGTTGCAATTGCTGAAAACAAAATAACTAGCAGTAATATTTATAGCAATAGTTGGTAGCATTTGCAACAACAAGCTACCCCAAAAACAAATCCAAAACTACACATGCATAGTAACAAATGTCAACCATCTAAAAGTGTGGATGTAATATTTTATACTTTGCAAACGATGAAATCTAATAATAAAATTTAGCCAAAATAACAAAATTTTTAAAATCAAAATTTAAATAGTAAACAATCTGTTTTTAAAAATATTAAACTTAACTACTTCCCCTCCCTCTAGTTCATCTAAATCCTCACAATTAAGAGTAATATTGACATGTTTTCCTTTTTGCCTAGGCCAATCTTGTGTGCATACTAGAGCTTGTGCCATCTTAGGAGTTAAGGAACTCCTAAAGTCATCTAGCACACGACCACTTGTGCTGAAAGCTGATTTAGATGCCACTGTTGAAACTGGAATAGCTAAAATATCTTGTGCCATTGTTGCAAGAATAGGAAATCTCCCACTCTTAAGCTTCCAATATGAAAGAACGTCATAAAATTGAGCATCATTTTCCATAATCTCTAATTTATCTTAAAGGTAGATGTCAAGCTTTGATTGTTCATTCTTTTCCTGAGTTGCCTTTGATAAATATTTTTTGAATCTTTCAGTATCCTTCATCCTTTTCTTATTTCTTGTTTCACTTTGGCAAGAAGAAACACTACTATTCTTGTTTGGCTTTAATCTTGCAACACCACCAAGACCATTCCCACCACTTGGTTTAGATCTAACAAGGTGATTAAGGTTACTTTGATTGGGCCCTTGTTCCCCACTAAAACTAGACATGGCATTTGTGCTATTATTGCCACAATTCTCATTCTGATTTTTTATTTCAATCTTGTAAAAATCAAACAACTTTCTCAATTCAGCTTCAATCCAATATCCATATTCTTTTGCTTTTCCTTTCGACTTTGGATATAAATCCCCTAGGAGGCAATTCAAATATCCCTACGAGCGGGTGGATGAGTTGGCAAGGGACTCTTCCAGCTTAACCAGAGGTCTTGATTTTAAGCCCTGAGAATGCAGCTCCGTTAAAACCCGTGAGGGAGAGTTTTGCTGCTCGTTGGGTCCTGTCTGGCTCGAATCCAGATTAGTTGGTGGCCCAGTGGGCTTCCGGATACCAAGTGCTCCATACCAAAAAAAAAAAAA